AAATGGAATAAAATTGGTTAGGCGCGGCACTGAACGCTTCCTACAGGCGAAGAGGAGAGCCTAAAACAAGTAGAAGGTCCCCTTGAAGGATTCTGACCGTAGATTTTACTTGACATTGAGAAACAGTTGCAATCCCAAAGTTCGAGGTGATAGGAGACACTTTCAGATGAAACCAGCAGCCCAAATACAGGCAAACCCTTGGTATCTGTTTAGGTTATTGACTAAAAGAAAACCTTGAACCAGGGTGTGTGTTCCTTCAAAGGTCCTAATGGAAAAGACCTCACGAACCTAGAGATGGCTGAGATCTTCCACACTAGCTTCACTGATTAGTTAAACTAGGTGTCCAGATGTTTACAGTACTCCTCAAGCCCAGTGTCAGCTGACAGCTAACGGAATATCCGATATACTAAGGAAACTAAAATCCTTACGCTGAGTAAAGTCATCAGGTTGTGACAATATTCGTCCCATAGTCTTGAAAAAATGTGCAGGAGCCCTCTGTTCACTGATATATGATCCTGTTCATGCAGTCATTGAAATCACACCAACTCCAAGCTGAATGGACAATTATACTGGTTAATGACTGATATGAAAGGTAGATATCGAGAAATTTCCCAAAAGAGGTGCTTCGCTGATTTGATAAAGCTATGTGCTGTCTGATTTCTGAGGACGCTTTTATATATAACTTTTGATAAAGCTGAAACACACTCTTCATGAATTTTCAAAGAAAACTTCTTCAGTATTCTGTAAGGTGAAACTGAATGGTTTTTGTTCACCATTGAAAGCTACACAATTAGTTTTTAAAAAATGTTTGATTTTTTGAGATCTCAACTCACTGAGAAATCTTCTGCGAATTTTATTCAGTAACCTCTCCACTATTGAATAGATTACTTATGTTTTTATTAGGTATTACTTTAAAGCATAATTTATTATTGTTTGTTATCATCTAGTACTATACTTAAGTAAGTTCTTAATTTTCCCAATATAGTTCTTTGTAATTTTGAGTATACCGGGACCTTCGGTATTGTGCGCAAACGCCCTAACTGTTAGGGTTCGAATCCTGCGGGATGCAGGAATCGTGGGTGCGCACTGCTGAGGAGTCCCATACTAGGACGAAACGGCCGTCCAGTGCTTCCAGGTTTCTAATGGTGGTCTAACATTGATCGATTCATGGTTTCAAAAAATGTGTAACTTAACAATCTTCACAATCCCGTAATGAAAATAGTTTCTCATCCGTTTGATTTCAGGCAATATAATTTGGGATATTTCTCATTAATTAATTATGATGTCTGAGGTAATTATTTTAATTCTGTCTAATAATTGCTTTGGAAAAGCACTGATGGATTTACTAAATTTTCATTACCTGTTCATTTAGGTGAAGGTGAAGATAATACTGGGTTATTGTTACTTCATCCACTTTACATTTTCTATTTGGACATCCATTTTCTGCTTCAGATGTGGTCAGTAATTTTTACTTGTTGTTAGTGGGTACTGGTTTCTTTACTGTTATCCAACACTCCTGTTAATATCACACAGTGCATATGAGTGTAATTGTCTAGATCATGTGGTTCAGTTGTTTCATGATTGAAAGCTGAGTAGTGTCCATGCATTTCTGAACTTAGGCTTTCTGTTTGATGCACCCATTCATTGCCATAGTTACTGAAGCCAAATTGTTTTTTCTAGTTCAAAGATGTGAGTATGAATCACTGATGGCAGATGGATATTCCAAAATCCTTATTGGTCTAACTGGGAGTTTCATACTCGTATTTTACATTTTTCCTACAGTTTCAATTGTATTATAAATTATTGTGTAAACTTATATTTCCACAAACAGTTTTTCGTGCTATTTAAGGGTATAATTCTAGTGTTGTCGTCGGTGATAAACTCTCATTTGTTTATGAATTGATACAGGTTAGCGATAAGAAAAAATTTGAAGCCTCTTTTGTAAGCGAATAACAATTTTACTTATGAATTGAATGACTTAGTGTTAAATTAATGCTATTTCATTTCACTGTCAGTAGAACCGCGTTAGTTTTACAAATACACGTAATTTGCGATCTCTTTCGTTACCAAACAATCGTTACAAGTGCGGACATTTGATTAGAAAAATTAGAGGATCACAGAAAAATACTAAATTAGTTAAGGATCAAGTATTGATTTCCTGTCAGTCAGTCGGAAGTAGTAAGAATATGAACGTACACCTCGGTTTCCTGCTAGATAGCACAGGTCAGCAGGCTATACCTACAATCTTTGGAGGGCTGATGCTCCCTATAAAGTAGGAACTCACGTCATCCAGTTCCACAGTTCAAGACATTACCATTGAGCTATTCAGAACGCGACTGTTCTCCTGTAGTACAAGGATGTCCACAATAACCGATCCTTGAGTAGTGATTAATATCATGCTTTTCTAGGCTTTTTGTGCTGATCGAATTTCATTATATATTATTAAGTCACTTAGACTAGTGATCACATCCTAATTTGGTCGATAGAATTCGATCAGCATTAAAAGACTATGTAACCATGATACTAGTCACTATTCAATGATCGAACAATTGTAGTGATATTCTGTCTAGTTCTAATCAACTTGAACTGAAGCATGAAAGCTTAATTGAACTATGTCTAGTTATTTGATAAATGATCAAGCTTTCAATCACTTCATCAAATTTAATTTTATTTCAACTAAAATTATGCTACCACAAAAATTGATTTCCAAAAAATTTAAATATAGTAATTAATTCAATCCTAAGTTGTAAATGACCTCTTCAGTGAACTTTATTTTATCATGACATTTAGTTCTTTCTAAAACTTGCTCCATGTTCATAAGAAAATCATTATCTATTCAGAAATTATTTAGATGTACGAGAAAAGAAAATTAACAACAATAATTAGTTGATTAATTTCAGTTCACAGTTGAAAATTTTATTAAGTAGTAAGAAAAAGAATAAAATACAATGACTTCAAATTATTCTTACTAAAAACATGTAGAGAAATAGATAAGATTAGACAAAATTTACAACTTAGGTTTGAGCACATAAAATAATTAATGCTACTGCTCTTAATCTCTATTAATTTGTATCTCTAGTCGTTATTTCTCTGTCCTTATGGACAACAAACTCATAGCTTACTTAAACATGCCAAACAGGAATTTTAGTTCCTCATAGTCACTTTCCATCGGTTAACTAGCGCTATTTGTAATGTGCTCTCCAGTTACTAACTACCTTTTCGGTTCAACTTAAACGTGGTCTTCATTGACGTAAAAGTATTTTAAAGCTGTACTGAATACTTCATTTAACTCTCTGGTTTTTATCAGTTGTTTAACCGATAGTGAGTTGTAGTGGAATTACCAACACAGAGTTACCTTATTTCTAAACTCATGTGATAATAATAAACTCACTTTCATTTTGGCCACATCAGTTTTTCTTGTCTTTGCTATTTTAAGCTTAACATTTTGATGAGTACGTATTACTATGCTAATAACACTCAGTTCCCATACTTATTATCATTAATAATTTTCAAAATCCCTTGTACAGAAATAATACTGAAAGACTGGAGTTCTCTCTTTTCGATTTTATATGCTTATTTTTATGTTCTGCTTCGAAAGTTCTGTGTTCTCGTGTTTGGCTTTTCAGCTAGAGGCTTGATATATACACACTTCCTAATCATGAACTTAAGACAAAATTTGTAGTAAAATTATAGCAGAAAAACCTTAGAATGATCTTATTTAAATGAAAATTCTTTACCAAATCACCATGAACTTTCAGGAAACTTCAAAATTGAGTTAAGTAAGGTTTGAATTACCCACCTTAAAATATTATCTCCTTCATTACAATCTGCTAACTGCTTTACATCAAGCAACAATATCTGTTCAGTTGATTGAAGATAAATATCTATGACCACTACTAAGTAAAAAATTTGTAATATATAACAACTTGATCATTCGGGTAAATTGACATGAAATCTGTAATAATTTGTTCATTGAGGATGTTAGCCAGATTGAATAACTGCAAGTAACTATATCATATTCAATCTATATTCTTAAGACATGTTATACTGAACAATAGCAGTTGAATAGATTGACATAGACTTTCCAGGTTGCTACTTCGTACAGAGGAGAGGAATAAACTAAAATCAAGACATAAATATTATTTAGAAGTAAACACATATTTTGAAATTATTTCTTAAGCGGTTTTTAATCTTGCTCTTACAACATTATTCAAGCCGATAACAAAATAACTTATATCATTCTCTTGACGGTCTTGCTGATAATCAGATTAAATGATGAAATACTGGAATCTAACCAAATAAAAGAACGAAAATGATTTCCTTCACTGAATATTTTATAAGATAATTTGCCTATCTGACGTACACAGGAACGTCTTATTTGTCTAGCTTCTATCATTTAACAGCTAAACTAGTCAATCCTTAGTAACATAGACCTATTAGTGAAGCTGAAATCATCATTACATGTATTTACAACTATCAAGTATTGATTACCTTCAAAATATATGTAGCTCTTAGTGATAAGTAAAAGGGATAATGAAGGATATATACACAATGAAAATCCGAATGTGTAACTTTTACCAACCGAACTGTGATATTTTTTGATTACACATAGAAAAGCAGTCTTCCTGAATATCTCACTAATTCTAAAAATTGTAATTAAGTATTCGCTTTAATCTTTCTATCTGGCTTGATAAAGTAAACTATTGATATGGATATGAACAAAGAGTAATAGAATGAAGGATTGTTTTGGATAACTTCCTTATCAAGCTCAATAGTTATAAATGCAGAATTAATATTATAATTATGTTATGATAGATAAAGCATTAAAGTTGAATTAATCCATGTGATAAACTGAAAATGGTAAACTTTACGTCGATTAAGTCTTAAATATGTATGAATCAAATAAACCCGTTTGTTGAAAACGTTAACTGTTAGCTGAACTAAATGCTCTGTCAAACATCTTGATAATTGGTGAGTAAAGTATGAAGTGGTATTTATTACAAAATTATTGGTTAATTACATATTGTCAAATAGCAAGCACTTAACTAAATATCAGACGAAATTAATCAGTTACAAAATCTTTAACATTTAATGTAACCCCAGTGATGATGTGCTTTTGTAGTATAAAGCTCAATGAACTGACGAGAAATGAAACGGTAAACCAATATTGAATGAGTTAAGTGAAACACGATGAGAAAAGGCTGAAAACTATCTACCTTAACATGTGAGTCAGCTATAATACCAATAAGTATAAACTAGAAACTAAAACGCGAATCGTTCGCTAAAATGAGAAATACACTATCAACAAATGGCATCTATTAAATCATACTCTTATTCTACATTGTCTTTACAATGAATGACCTTATGAGTTTAGTAGAGCAGTTTAATGTATAAAATTCACAACAGATAAGATTGAAAGACTAAGATACACAAGTCAAAATAATATAATTGCACTTTGTAACTAAAATACAATGATTAAGTAATAATGCAAATAAAATGGAGTAAATCACTACACACAAAATGTGAGTAAAATATTAGTAGCGTTTCACTGATTGATCAAATTGAAATGATTACAAAACAATATCATGTAAAAGAAACCGTGAGCGAAGGAGAATGCCACGGAAGATGGTATGGATATTGTTGTAGCTTAATCAAGTGTTGTGTCGAGATGAAAATCTTTTTTATTTCAACGCTAAAGCCACACAAGTACGGCTAGGCAGATACAGAAAAACACAATTTCGACGATTATCCCATGGTTCATTGTGCGTGAATACATCGACAGATTGGTCGATCCGTTTAAAGCCACCAAATTCTTCTTGGTCAGAATCCAAAACAATATGATACCTTAAAGTAAATGAAGGCAGAAATTAAAATAATTTTTTTTCAACAAATACTAATACATAGATAAAATCATTTTGAATCGAAAATATACTGTTATTCATCAATCAGAATATAAATATAGCCAACGATCCTTCATACTTCATGAAAAGTTGAAATGAAACTTACCGTCCAGGTTCTTCGACTCCAATTTTGTAATCCGTAAAACTTTGAGTAGGATGAAAATTAAAAACGAACAGAACTCCAGCACGTTCAAATGCGATAACTTTATCACCTTCATTCTTTCGACTAACATAAGCCTTATGAGTAAAGTAAAAACCAAGAAATATGATTAATAGATAGATTAATGATGTGTAACAAAAACAGAACAATGCATTTAATTCAATAATCATACAATCACATGTACTACAATGTGTAAAAAACAACGATACTGCTGAACTTTCTAAAACAAACAAATAACATACGTTTGAACTCACAAAATCCGAGTAGGTAAATTTTTGAAGCGAACTAAATATAAATCATAGAACGATAGGTGGGGTAAATGGCAAATATTTGTAAACATTGAGGTTCACATAGTCTTAATTTTAGTATTAAGCTTAGCTAGTCAAATGAATCTTAGAACCAGGCACATGTTTACAATATTCCAAGATAGCATAACTCGTCCATACAGCGAGATGGTAAAATGATTCCATTCAAATAAATATATCGTATTTTGCAGATATAGACAATGACTTATGTAAAACAACTTGAACTGTGGACTATTTATATTATGTACAGAAGACAAATGTTTTAACATAAAGATGCTTCATTAATCATCACGAAACGTCATGGGTAGATACAAAATTTAGGCAGTGGTAACAGTGATCATCATCATTAAAATCAGTAGAGCACGTGGCAATAACGAAGATGGATTCACTCTCTGTGTCGTCTCTTAAATACTGAATTTCAAAATTATTCTGTACTTTTTATTCAGTGAATTAATTTTTTCTTTTCGAATCATATTCTCTATGCCTAATGCTTTTTACTCCCACTGACATTACTATTACGTCATTTTGATAATTTTATTGTGGTAGCACTTGTGATTGAGATAAAGAGACAACTGATAACTATGTTTACAGTTTACCCAGAAATATTTGAGAAAAAAATATAACTTTTTATAAAATGAAATGATAGTTCAACTGAATAACAAAGTAGACATTTATGCACTACATTCTGAGCAAACATTTTATGACTAGACTTAACGATATTCGAGTGTCTAAGCTGAAACTGATAGAGCACAGTTTGAATATGTACCCAAATGGTTGGAAGATGAGTAGCTTAACAACTAATCCGTTGGTTTCGTAATTACATGAACGTTCATTAACCTAACTGTGAGACACACTCGTTAGATGAACTATTAATACTATGTGGCTATAGAAAATAAACTTGTAATCCATTAGTTGGGTGGACAGATGAAACCAGAATAAAAGGCAAAATCAGAGACATAAAAGTATAAAGATAATAATAATAGCATACCAGACATACACATCTATAACGTACCTGTGGAGCTGCCAGCCAACCATATCTTTCCTCTAAATGTTGCATAGCTCTATCAAAATTATTTAGATATTTATAACGCAACATTGGGTCATCCACCAAGTTCCACTGACGGCGAGCATAGTGATAAGAACTATTATTGCCAGCTCTTGGGAAATCCAACCATTCAGGATGACCAAATTCATTACCTATAAACCGAATGAAATCAAAACTGCATCGATTAAAACTGTACATGAAATATGTTTAGAAGATAGGTGAGTAAAAAAAGCAAATGATATGGTCAAGGAAGTGGTAAACTTAACTTCCTGCGTTTAAGTGTTATAAAAATCAAGAATTCTACTACATCTACTACACCAAACAGAATTCTTTTGTTTTATTTTAAATATACTCTATAAGAGATGCAAAAGATTAAACAGACAATTGTTCAATAAAAAACTAAAAACTTGTACTAATTTATAGTTTCACTTATCAGGTAAAAATGTGGAGAAATTAAGATAAATTATGGTATGTACCTTCCTACAAAATCATATAGGCAGTGTTTCATCTACCGATTTACTTAAAGGAAGGATGACTTAAAGATTGTTTCAGTGAGGATCTGTGATTTTAAAAACTACCTTAATATACTAAGTGACGGTAGGTTAGCTTATTAACCACGCTTGATTTCTTTTAGTTATTTCAGGAAATCTGTAGACTCTGTGGTAGATCATCGGTGACTGCCATACTAACTTGGATAATAGTTCTCTCATAAATATACGTAATTTAAAATCATTTGCACTGGTGTATGTAGATTCATTCTTCGTCTTTCTGTAGGTTCTAATTTTCTAAACTCCTTAAGTTTTTTTTCTGCTGATTTATATTTTCATGAATCCTATATTTGATGCCTAACCTTTTCTATTACCACCAATACTGTTACTATCTCTACCACTCTGAGATTCACCCTGCCAATTTCATCTTGCTATATCAATGGGGTAAGACAACTTGAACCAACATACATACGTACTAGGTTCTACGTTGCATCTGAATGACCAACTGACTATATAAACATGCCCATGATTAATACAGTCACTTACCCATAAAATTAAGATAACCTTCACCTCCTAAGGTATGTGTTATGAAACGTATTAGTTTGTGTAACGCGATGCCACGGTCAATGATTAAATTAGGTGGGCTTAAAGTGCTCATACTGAAGTACATCTCTTTATCCATAAGCCAGAAAGATATGGTCTTATCACCAACCAAAGCTTGGTCATGACATTCTGCATATGCGATATTTGATTCACCATAGCGTCGATTAATCAGCGTATGGACGAGATTGCCCATGTTCCAATCTTCATCTTTGTATTTCTTTAGAAGCTGAATATTTAAATGAAGATCACTAAAACTGGTTATTGATGATAAATAAAAATTAAAAAAATTGGCCTAACTTAGCATAAACTTGTGTATTTCTTTATTAATTATATACATAGTATGAGGACTAGAAATTATCTCACGCTGTCTAAAATGGCGATAAGATTCAAATCTGGAAGCTATTTTTAGCTGCTTCACAAACTGGGTGACGGCACAGGATAAAAAATGAATACTCAAGTTGTTTTGTGGTGTAGGAGTAGGTTGGAAGAAAGCTAAGAGCGGCTAAACCAAAACATGGCACAAGTCCATGAAGTCACTAACAACTGAACTAAGTTATGTTGGTAAGTGCAGACTACTTGGTTGGGGTTTGCGAGATGACAGTAATCGATGGTTAGAGACCTTGAAAATCATGGCTAATAATCGTCTGCGATGGCGCCGGAGCATCTATATTTTGTGTTCTTTCAAATCACAATCCGCTGAATTCCTCATCACTTTGCTCTTTTTCTTTTTAAGTTTATTTCATTAGATTCTACTTCTTGAATCATATCGTCGAACCCTAATCTCTCCGATTACTGTCAATACTTCCACTACCTCTACCACTGGGATTTGAATCGAAAATTGCGCCTCTATGCGCTAACGTGGTACGGCAACTTCAACTAATGTACATACGTACGAAATTCTACGTTGTAACTGACTGACTCAAGATTGACTAATCATGGACATGGCGAAAATAACAAGTTTTAGAAAATACAATGAAATAATTCTACCAAATACCATTTAATCAGCTGCATGTTTCTTAAACTTACAATCATAAGGAGAAAAATTACATAAATGCCAAGCTTCCTCTACCAGAAAATGCGAAACACTCTACTGTTCAGATACGATTAATTTTAAATTCACTTCTAGAAAAATGTCATGCAGATTTAATTTTATGGTGTTCTTTATCGTAGTGTTAACATATAAAACTGACTTTAATAATAAAAGCACACGAATTTTTTAAAAATGTTGCAAACTAACATCAAATCAGATGAGTTATATACTGAGTTTGCAAAGATCTGAATGATTGGAAATCAATTTGTAGTATAAAAAAATAAGCGGTTTCGATAAGTGTCAACCGATTACGTTAACTACACTACTGGTTACGAAGAGATAATATCATTTAGCATCCTAAACCCTAACATGTGGAAAATAAATATGAACTCAATATGCGGTCGAATCACTGCTTTATTTCAACAATTCGGCAAACCTAAAATGAAGTATGTGATGTGATGTGAAAATCTTACATATGTAAAAGTATAGAAAAAACGGAATTGATGATAAATAGATTAAAATTACATAAGTCAAATAATTACTAAGATCAAAAGCCAACAGGGATATACTATTAGTAAAAAATAGCTTATCTGTAAAGAATTTACCTCAATCCATTTATCAGGAATGGCCATGGCTAATCGATAGTCAAATCCACCACCGCCTTCAGAGACTGGACGACACAGAGTAGGCATACCGCTAACCTCCTTTCAAATTAAAAATTAAATCAATTTTATATCATGGTCAGACTCAGGAAATAGCATGTGTAATTTCAAGTTAGTAGGGTTTAAGCGGTAAACTAAATAAAACTTCAACTATTCATTAAGAAAATCTATACAGGAGATTTCAGTGAGTTTCCTCATTTTTAGTGGGAAATCGTAATCCTTTAAAATAGGAGTTACTGATCAGGGTACTAATATAGAGCAGATATAAAAGTAAGGTGAATAATAAAAGTTAAGTACGAATTTCTTACTTCCGCAATTGTAATAATAAATGGATACTTTTCATGCAGAAAATGGTTAGCTAGCATTAAATAGGTAAATGATTCTGTGTCTACGGATAAACCAAAATATTCTCCATAATGACCGGAAAAGTTAGTCATTAAACCATGATGATGATAAAGCATAGACATCACCCCATCAAACCGGAAACCATCAAAACCGTACTCTTCAATCCACCAACGCAAATTCGACATAAGGAAGCGAAGTACTTCTAGTCTGTAAAAATTAAAAATGAATCAATTATTGTAGAATGAGTAACTTCAGAAAACGAATAAGAATGTCTGCACTTTAAAACAAACAAATCCCTGGGAATCAAAATATTAGTTACCTCGTGAAGTAACACTACTAATGTAACAAAGTGATAAATCATTTTGGGAAGAAAACATCCATTCTAATGCATTTTCATTGGTAACGGTTCATTTTGTCGTACCGAAACCACTAATGGATGAAATATGCATCAAAACTAATATAAAAGGTTGTCGAATACATATACACTAAGTCTCCATACATTAAAAAATAATTCGTAAAAAATGGGCAGAGCCCAAAACCACTGTTATAGACTAATGGTTACCAAACGATCTAATACCGTGCATTAGATGTTTTCATAAGGTAACAGATACAGTTATTTGTCATACAGTTATATTCAACAGTTATATTCAACAACAAAGTGGACGATAAATAACGATAATAAACGTAGCTGCCAACTACTCAAAACTGAATCTGATTCATAAAATTTCAAGCGACCATAATATGTACAAAAATAAGACACTGAAACATTACTCTGTATAATTGAATAGACGAGAATCCCATAAATCATGAGTTCCACGACCTAGATCATGGAAATAACAAGCATTAGTGCCATCGAATTGGTTGAGACCATCATTCGTATTCTTAGAGGCATGACTATGAACAACGTCTAGTAGAACCACGATGCCCAATCGGTGTGCTTCATCAACCATGGAGCGTAGCTCCTCTGGAGTACCAAAGCGACTGGAAAATAAGATATAGAAATTCTTAATTGTGAGTAATTAGCAAATCGTAACAAGAATTCTACACATAAAGAAAAGTTATTTATACAATTAATTTTTCATAACTACTGAAGTGTCTAGGCCGGTGAAGCTTTACAAATATAAATATAATTTAGGACTATAGTGATCGAACTAAACGGCACAAAGTACAAGGAACTATGGAATGCCAGTAAAGTTTGTCAAGCTTATTTACGTCTAATGGGTAGCTGCAACAGTAGATCCAAAAAATAGTGTTAGTAGTCTGTGATTTACTAGGGTGAAGCAAAACAATGGAGAAGAAAATCAAAAAATTGTGAATCGAACTATACACTCATATATCATTGAAATCGTGAATCGTTCGTGGTTAGACCATAGTAAAAACTAGTAGCACTGAACAACCGACCCATCTTGGTTTGGGATCCGTCAGCAGTGCACATCCACAAGGCCCGTTGCCGGAATCGAGCCCAGGACCTTTAGGGGTCGTGGATGCGCACTGCTGAAGAGCCCCATACTAAGACAAAATGGCCGGTCCAGTGCCTCCAGGTTTCTAATGATCGTCTAACAATGATTGATTTATGACTTCAACGATTAACAACAATCTTCATAACTCATTTATGAAAAATTACAAAGTTATTCTCTTTTCTTTGTCGCTAGAATATATTTAAGAACAGTGTTATGTACAATTTTTACATAGATGTAGACTTGCCAGATAAACTAAATAATTTCTACTTCCAAGTCTCAAATAACTATTTCAGTGGGAAACTCATATTTTACTTAACATTTGAAACACTGAAACTGCAAACTAGTAACGACTATACTGCCAGACTTAGTGTTAAGGTGTATTACGTTTAGAGAACCGAGCAGGATTGAGCATTTTAAATCTAGACTGTAGGAGTATACTGGATCATAAGCTTATGTTTGAAGAAATAATATATAACCTTGGCACAACAGCGTACGCCTATGTTTTTAACTTGTCCCCCGATGACGTAGTTTAGGCCAAGGATGAAAAGTCCGATCTACTTTTTGGAATGTTCTCAGACGGTTACACTTACGACCTTTTTAAGAAAAGTCCTATTCGCTGCCTTTATGTGGCGAACGTAATAGAACATTTTCTTTATAACTAGTCGTCACATTTGCATTTGTGCTTGGATACTGAATTAAATCCCATTAAAAAGCTCTGAGTTCCCTTAAGGAATCTTTCCTGAATATTCAGATTTTAAACCTATTCAAAAAGACAGTAGAGAAAAGTCAGAAAATATCTTGCGGTAGCCGGTGACCAAAATAGGTTCGTACACCACCCATCCAGTCGACACCAAGGATTTCCCAGCTCCCCTAGGTGAATCCTCTGTACCCGCTTTAAATTTCTATCCAAACATATAAACATTGGTAGAAATAGGCACCTAAATATTTATGCACTACACAAGTTATTGAATTTTTGAATGGCCAGGGATACATCCTGGACGCCCAGACTGCAGAAAAAGGTTTTCTTAGAGGGCCACTCCTTGAGATTTTGACCAAGAAGTTTGATCTACAAGAGGGTGGGATAACCTAAGGAGTTGTAGCCCCACAAAAAAGCCAGTAACCATGAATAAGTTCATAAACCACTTGTTTAGTCAGGATCCTGGAATCCATGTATACCATTGGTTTGGAATCCGTTTCCCAACTCCCCTAGGTGGATCGTCCATACTCATCAGATCGGTTTAAGCACCAGACACTCACTTTCGTCATGACACCATGCCACGAGAAGGCAGTGAATAGGACTTCCCTAGCAGTAGCTATATACGCATGGTCGTATGAGAGCATCCCGAGAGAGAGATCAAACTCTCCCCACCCAGCCGTAACAGGGCATTTGGGGCATGAATGGTGGGAAACTATATCACAGGAATATCATATAATGATAATGAATAACAGTTTAAAATAAGACGTAACCAATAAAGCTTAGACAGAGAACAAAACATATCTAAATACATGAGGCAAAAATCATCTGACCACAAAAACTATATCGTCTGTTAGTTCCAGTAGGAAGAGATAACCCTAGCAATTAGACATTTGGAACATGTAATCTAAGTAAAAGGTCTTAAAGACAGCTTCGTAAATTTACTGAATAATAAAGTAATAAAAGCAACTAAAATGATATTTAAATGAGATAAAAACTACAGATTGTACTACCAGTATTTATAAGGTAAACGATCTACTCTCTTGATGCGGCTTCTCAGTCAATTAGAAGTAATATAGGACCTAGTTGGAGTGAAGTTCAGCACAGTACTACTGTTTTAAGGGCTTCTAAGTCTTAAAACCGTACAACCTCGGCAAGAAGCACTTTTTAATTGAAGAATCCATCTGATTAACTTTCAATCTATGTAAGGATCTAACTATATATTGTAGCTAATTGGGAAAAGTTATTCAACAGGTTGACACTTAGAAAGGACATTTATGCATCAGCCTAGAAACCAAGTTGTCTGACTAACAGAGACCTTGAATGACGTGGCTCAAATCACTTCAATGGCGCAAGTGCATCTATTCTTTGCCGACTCTCAAATTCTAATTTTCTGAATTCCTCATGACCTCTTTTTTCTCTTTAAATTCATTTTACTGAGACATACTCCTCGATTCATATTTTTGAATCCTTATCATTTTTCCGCTAATACCGCTACAACCTTTACCACTATGGGATCGGAATTGACGATTGCATGTCTGTGCGCTAATGTGGTATGGCAACTTGAACAGTTGTCAGTAGTTATCAAGTTCTACGTTGTAGCTGACTGACTGAGTAGTACAGTTGAAAATAAACTTTTCAAAAAAGTTCTATTAAGTGAGCGGATGGAAACTTTTCCGTACAAAAGAAATAAAACCAAGAATGTTTTCAAAATGTAAGGTACTTAATTCCTCTTGTTACGTCAGACATTTACGTTATGAACACTAGTTCTAGTGAGTTAGTTGCCAACAGGGACCCATAACCTGAAGACGAATCTACCTATAAACTCTGGGAGAAAACATCATACAGAATACTGCAAAACGTATTTGATGACTGATAAGACCATACAATGAAGCGCCAGTAGCAAAAACTGGACTAGTAAACCTTCACTAGTAACTGGAAGAATCATGATAATACTCAAAGAAAGCACCATTTTGGTGGAAATTAAACTAAGTGTTATAAAAGCCAGAGAGAAATTTAAAAAGCATTCCATGATAATAATCACTAAATTTACCTTGAGGCAGCAAAGAAGCTAGTCACTTGGTATCCGAACGAAGCATAATAAGCATGTTCCATAAGTGCCATTATCTGAATTGCATTATAGCCTAGAGAAAGATAAATACTTTAAGTAGCTTTTCAGAAGATCATACACATACACAGTTACCTATATATCATGTACAACAAACTGGCAGACACTGCAAAAATCAAATTCTATGCATTTACAGAATAAAAAACTAGTAACGTTGTCACTATTAAATCAGGGTGGAAGTTCGACTGAAAGAATAAATGCATCTGTTCGTCCACAAACAAACGACTTATGAACAAGAATACACTTCTACATATTACAATGCCTCAATCAGTCAGCTACAACGTAGAACTTCATACGCACGTACATAATTTCAGGTTATCATACCACATTAGCATAAAGACGCGATTGTCAGTTCAAATCCCATAGTGGTAGAGATAGCAGAAATATTAGAGGCCGCAGAATACACCGATGTCGCGAAATTCTAAAGTCCTAGCGAAGGAAGCCGGTTGTCCTATTTGACACAATGTCTGGGTATTAAAAGCTCAAACGTGTAGTTTAAAGCGCTGTTTCAGGAGACCAGAAATAACGTTTCGTGAACTCGCATCGTTTGCATTAGCAGTGCGGGGTAATAGAGGAATGTGAGAAGGGTCAGTCATGGAGATAAGAAATATGTTAGGGGTTGTAGGGAGGATTCAGTTGTGACCAATATGGTCTCGTATGTTGTTACGGGTTTGAGGACAGATGTCACTCTCCGGATGCACACACTGTGGAAGGGTGTTCCTTGAGGAACCTGAAAAGGTAGATTGGCGGTGTTATTAGAGATCTGGAAGCGTGATTGCAGAGCACAAAAGACAACTGCTTGAATCCTGTCACGCACGAACTTTATATGAGTAGTTTTTATAGTGTTAGCTCCGCTATTATTTAAAAGGCCTTACCGCCAGATAAGGAAATCCGTGAGGAAGGGTGATGTGTGATATTTTTAAGGTCAACCTTTTCTAACCCCTTCCTTCCTTGTGAGAAGGCAGCGCCGCTGCATATGCTGGTTTTGCGAGAGGAACATTTTACTGTTGTCGCACCCCCCTACAATCGGCAGTACGACTTCGCCCACAGACCTTGAGTGACTGCTTTTAGTCACCGTTCTCTAATCGACCTGCTTAGAATGGTAGAATCAACAGGAACGTGTTCCAGCCACTATAGCTTGGTAGGGTTATTATGATTGGCAACCAATGGAGGATCTAGTAAATTAGTAGTGAGGCTATTAGCTAAAAAATTTATGTAAGAGAACTAATTATGAAACGAGTGTAGAATGATCATACCTAGGTCCTTAATTCGAGGCAAAACGTTGTCCTTGAAATGAGAATAAGATGCGACGACCGGCTGAGATGACGAAATGCCAATATGACACTCGTAGATTCGGAGGCTTTTAGGACGTGGAGGATGAGGGTATTTAAATTGGTATCTCTAGCAATAAGGATTTACAGAATAAGAACAACCTCTGGAGGATTATACAGCAACTGATCGTAAATAATATTCCCCTCAAAGCATTTAACGTATGCAGCCCATGGGCTTAACCTGTCAAGTCGACGACCATCCTGAGCGACCACTAACAGCTACAAGATAAGGAAAACAATTCATTTATTATACCTTGATTTTCGAAAGATGCTTTATAACCGGTGAACCACTAGCAGGTGGTATTATCAACTCCCATTTCCCGAAACCCACATTTTTGAACGGGTGAGTAAATTCCTGCCATTCATCTGGAACCTGAGAAAATTATCTATGACTTACTAAAATCTCCACGCAGGTAGAGTTCTTTTGCTCCTGGAGCCCATTCTTTGCAGTATATCGACCCGTCATCACGCACGTGAATTCCAAACTCTTTATAGCCTTGAGTGAACTCTTCTAAGCCACAAACATCATTTATCCACTTCATATGATCTAAGAAGCACTTATATCTATAACAATTATATCGAAATGAAACGAAAAGAACCTGCGTTTGATCTCATATTTGTAAGGTTCTAGCCATGGATCTAACTGTAACAGATTTTGTATATCTGGTACATTGACAGCCTCAATTTCCTCCGGCTTGTAAAACATTCTCGAGAATTGCAAACACACAAGCTACTACTTCATATACTCCGCACTTACTGAGTAGATAGAACTAACGTCAACTAGTGTTCAATATATATCACCATTTATGATGACCTGCATCGTTATAATAAAATGAAATATATGTTTAGGATTCTCCCGATGATGATAGGATAAGAATGATGAATATGTAGACGTAAGTAAATCCCCGAAATAAATATTTCTGTAAGCCTTCAACATTGGATCTAATATAATGAGTTTAACAGTAAACTTTTCGGCTGAAGACACTAGAACGTTCATCTGCACCGGATCACCATTGAGTATACCGAGCTCTAAATCTCTCACGACAACATACCAGATTAGATTACACACTTCATGACTAACCAACTTAAAAAATTTTCTTTGAACTCCTTTGTTTCTGTCATGATTATTACAGGTCGAAGATCTGCATAGAATAAGAGGATTAAGTATACATTAAGAAATGTCAGCTCAAAGGGTTGTAATGCCCTGTGGAATCTGCAAACGGATAAGGCCAACTAAATCTATTGAATTCCACCCCAGAATTAAAAAATCGACAGACGGACGTGTCATTTTTCTACATGTTGAAATTCACTAGCCTATGACGGTTCTGGTTGATTGTTTGCAAATCCTACTTCTGAGGAATAAAAATCGATTATGGAGGTCATTTCGAATTATAAAACCACCCCACAACTCACGAGTATAATGAATTAAGTCATATAACTGGTTATGAGAAAAATCTAAATGTGAACACATCGAACTCTGGGATAAGATGAAGCCATATAGTTTGTATCTTAAACATAGACGTTTTTCGATAGCTCCCGGTGAACGCAATGAGAAGTGTTTAAATGACTATTTAATACATCCATAATCTGGCTAGTAATTGATTAAAATGAGACTTTAATTAACTGATATGTATACAAGTTATAAACACAATCAACGTACTATAAGTCTGAATAGATACAACTTGAATGAAGTAGTAGTGGTTATAGTTTTGTGCCACTGAAGATCATCAACTTAGATGACTAGTGTGTATGTCTGAGATCTACTCAAGTTTCGCAGGCCACATATAGTACTGAGAAGACGGCCCTCCTGGTTTATAAATAACCTGAACTAACCTCTCACGGTACTCGAGTAATTTGGTTGACAAAATAGAGCAAGCGTGACCTTGTTAGTAAAGTGAATTGTAGAGTCTGGCGAAGTATTTTGTCGAGTCATCGATTCACAAACCAATCCATTTTGTGCAATCGATTAGTTCGCTCTAGTTGCCAGTGAACTTGATGGTGTTAGATAAACAGTCCAACGTTCAGGAATTCGTTGTCTAACGAAGAAATAGATCACTATCGTGGATGATATGGCTATACCTCAAAAATTATTCATTATTTCCCCTCCGGGATTAAGCTTGTTCGTAAATGCATGGAATCTATTGTGACCCTGAAACACCAGCTATTGTGTTATAATCATAATCACCAGTTCTGGAATGTTCAGTAACCTTATTGGGATTTTTATATTCTGCAGTTGTATGAAAAATAAAAATTAAGTGTCGTACCGGGCAGGTTTAATTCAGAATGTGCTAAAATGTGTTCAGAATTTTTACAGTATGAATCCTAGCGAACATATTTCGAAAATTTATGACTTATTTCATTTCTTGAATGAGAGTAAAATACAGGCAGACGGGTTAATATGTATACGTATAGATTATAAATGGACGTGGCATGTAAATGTTGTAAATATGTTAAGATGCATCAAACATTCATGTGGTTCCTTTCATTCGTTTATTTAATCTCACATAATTCAGATTAGGTTTGATTTTTTATTATTATTTTACAGAATGGTATTGTGTAGTGTAGAGGATCTTTCACGGCACAACAATATTCTTATGGTTAACACTAATTGCAGAAGGTTTGTCGAGACTCAGTACCAGTAATATATTTTGTTCGCAAGTACTGTTAAATGAAGTTGTTAAAATAAATTACGTCACGCGATTCAGCTGATATCGCGTCACCAGGTAGGGCCACAGCTATTTATCTAGTCTTCGGAGATCAGTATGTATGCCGCGTTTAAAAATGATAAATAGATAAGTAAATATAAATCAACAGAATATGTAAGTATTGATGTGATTGTTTGCAAGCAAGCCAAAACAATTGAAATAATATATTGTAGTGTGACGAGCAGTAGGTTGAATATGTGTCAACTTATATTGTCAAAAGTGTCATAGTTTAGAAATAGTTTATCTAGAACATTTTTCACATGAATTATATCAATGCAAGGCGTCAGCCAAGAAGTGTTAATTATTTTTTTTTCGACATCTCTTTGCTGTATACGCGATGTATTAAATTTCGTTTCTAGTGCACTAACGCATTTTTTATAGTTATTTACAGTCAGAGAAAATAAAACGGAGACAGAGCAGCAAAAGATGAAGCCAACAATTATAACGACAGATCATCCAGGTCTATTAGGTCTAGCATGATTCGGGTACAGGATTATTTTATGTTTTGCGTTCCGACAAGATACTTTTGAAGTTATTTAGATCTACAGAGAACAGTGGTAGTTTAAAGTATCTACAGGTGGAGGTCTAATTAGTGGTACAATAATTGAACATTTAGAGTTCGTATAATGTCGGATATAGAGCTACAAGCATGTTCAAATCATTTTCTGAGGAAGAGGAGGAGTAAACACCAATTCTATGAACGACGAATGTGTGCGATTTCATTTCAAGGATAGACTCTGGTAAACTATTGCAATGTCGAAAATTTCCTGGTGAAATAATTCGTATAGAGAGAAGATTCAGAAAGAGATTTTATCACTAATAACAAAGAGTTACGTAAGTTATAACTAGTAGTTTCTACATATCGCTTAGATCCACTGAAAATCAAAGATAGTATATAAATTATTTTGAAAAGACCGGATTAAGCTTAAGTGTCCTCCTTGAAAAATGGATAAGTCTACAATTACATCTAGATTTAGAATAAGAATTACAGTCAGTTCTAAGAAGGCTTAGTGTCAATCGTTATTGAACGGATTAGTCTTAACTCATCATTTCTGTGAACGCTACTAAGATTGAACGTGCAATTTTCTGAAATTGGTTGAACACAATTTGTACAATGAGATATGTGCTTCAGGAGACGTTGAGACGTGGATATATGCTTACATAACTGCTCCGCGAAAGGAGAATTATCAATATACTTAATTCGTGAGTCCTCCAAGGTATGAAATTTCGATAACACCCTTCCATTTATGGTTAGATCTAGGTTGAGTTAATCATAAACAAAAGAGATTCATTCACATGCGGCCGTGTTTCAGCTCCAGCAAACATTTTTAGCACCATAAGTTCACTTCATTGTGTCACATACTTGCGCTTTTTCGTATATTGTTCGGTTCATTTGAGGATATATCTTAATGAAAGGAATGAGACAACTATGAACTATTATCCTCGAAATCTCACACTCTTATTCATCCACATTTGGCAGAAACGGTACAAAAAACCGAGTGAATGGAGATGGAATAAGGTATCTCATGGAGTTCTTTATCATTTGGTCAGTACATCAAACTAGTTTCCATTAGCGTGTGATGCTTGTAAGGAAATAAGTGCTCTCAAATCATTCCTGAGTTTTTGACTCGAGCGTGTTTGTATTCTTCCTTGAATTTTTTTCACTGTTATACGTATGCTTACCTTCGACTTGTGTAACCATAATTCCAGGTTACAAAGTCTACATTTACCAAATCTTCATCAGATGGTTTTGTTAAAGTTATTCGTTTATATTTCTCTTTGATATATTTATTGCAGGACTGTCGGTAACAATGTCACGTTTATCGAAGTCAAGGTTTCGGCATGGACCATCATCGGTTAAGAACCTTTGTTATCTGATTTGATTTGTGATGGTCCAATAAAAATATGCGGGTACCTTAATCGAGTTACAGCCCCAAAAGGTATAAAGTATGAGCCAGAAAAATAGAAAAGGAAACAAATCGACGATTTGAGAAATATGTTATGGCTAGATAAGTGTACGTGATAAACCATGATAAGACTGCAATATATTTCCAAGAAATGTCATATATAAATCCAAATTGTCTATGTATAGTCGGCACGGAAAACGTAGTTTGATATGAGCAAAAACGCGTGCAATAGCACTGTTTAAAAACCGTTGGAAAACTTCAGACTACAAGGTCAGAACGAAGTCTCGATGCAAACACATGTTTTTAGTAATTGGTATAAGGTGCTTATTACTTACTTTCGCCTGTTACTCCTAATGAAACATAGGCCGCCAACCAGCATTCTTCAGTCTTCCTTATCCTGGGCCATCCTTTATAGATCTGTCCAATTATTGTTCTTTCTTCTCTTCTTTATCTCCATTTCTGTGTTAAGTGTTCCTTGGTTTACCTCTTTTCTTGAGGATTCTAAGTGTGGGCTTGTCTTGTGATGGAGTTTGATTTTTTCCCAAATTAGATCTTATTCACTTCCAGCGCTTACTCTTGATTTCTTCCTCCAATGAAATCTGGTTCGTTCTTTCCCACAGTAGGGTGTTGCTAATGGTTTCTGGTCAACGGATCCGAAGTATTTTGCGTAGAAAACTGTTTCTGTCGGATGACCAGCATCTGCAGCGATGCTGCCTTCTCACAAGGAAGGAATGGTTAGAAAAGTTCGACCCTAAAATGTCACACCTCACCTTACTTCACGGATTTCTGTCTCCGTCGGTAAGACCAACGCTAATCTATCTTCCTTTTCAGGTCCCTCAAGAAACAACCTTCCACGGTGTGGACAGCCGGGAAGTGACAACCGCCCTCATACCCGTAACAGACCAAATCGGTCACAATCAAATCCTTCCTACACCCACACATACCTATCTTCTCTCCACAACTAACTCTACTCACATTCCCTTATCTGACTGCACCGCTAATGCAAACGATGCGAGTTCACGAAACGTCATTCCTGGTCTCTTGAAACCCCGTTCTAGTCTACATGTTGGAGCATTTAATGTACGGACATTGTGTCAAATAGGGCAACAGGCATCATTAGCTAGGACTTTAGAATCTCGTGCCATCGATGTATACTGCGTCTCGGAAACGCTCATACAGGATCCTAGTAAGATCATTAATTTAATTTCGCCTTGTCAAAATAAAGAACCAGCTCGAATTACGGTTCGTGTATCTGGAAGCCCTCATGCTGCTTCCAGGGGTCTTGC